CCGTAAAACCCTTGGCTCGTGGCGCCATGGCGAATAGTGCAAATTTGGAAAAAATGCTGAATGGTGTTAGCAAAACTTTTGCTAAATTGTTGATATGTTGATGTCAAAAGTGACTTTGCAACAGTTACGACGTTTCCTAAAAGCGTAGATGTAATCCAAGATTATCTATATTCAGAAAATTAAATTCGTTATCTGGTTTTGCAGATCTTATGAAATTGCACGTAGTGGATTCATTCCTTTTTGACGCTTTTAGATGCCAGAAATGTTGCGAAATAGAAGACAATTCTTAACGAAGCTGAGCTGAGTGTTTTGTAGCTAGACACCCAAATGGCAAGACGCCAAATTTGCACTAAACAGTATTTTTATGTTGAACCCACAACTTACATGAAGCATTGAAACAGTGGAGGAGTTTAGAGCAAAGAGATGTCTTTGCTAAACAGTGAGCAGAGTCTTCGTTGAAAATCTGGATTCTCTTGATGATCATGGCATAAAAACATATTCAAAAGCCAATATAATTCATTGTAAGTAGAGAACTCATCTCAACGCAGCAGCCTGGATTACATCTTCCGAATGCAACAAACATCAAATTTTAGTCTTAGAAACCTTTTACTAGATGATCGAAGAGATCAGACCATATTTTACTCTTTTCTTACAAAACTCAAGCACAAAATTAATGAAATTAAAGACTTTGCTTCTCGAGTTTCTAACAATTCTAACAAGCGAAGTTCGCTTGGTCAAAATGGCCACTTGGAAGGTAATATATGCCTACGAATAGATTGAGGCGCTGATCTCAAATACACTTTCTATATTTTCTATCTATTAGGTCATTTCAAAAGTTCGTTCGCCAGTTTTTCAAAATATCGTAACTTCCTTCCTTCCAGGTGGAATTTCCCGTTTTAATTTTTGCTTGAAAGAAGAAACCTTTCTCTTTACAACAGTGTCTTTGCCATAAATAGCGTGAGAAAGTTCGAGAGTTAGAAGCAATTGAATAAACTTACTCAAGATTGGCATTTTTTAAGCTGGATCACGAAAAATTCCGGAAGTGTTATTATTTGATAGAGAAAATTATGCTCTTTACTGTAGTGCCTTTTCCACGAATTGAAACAAAAAAGATCGAAAGTTACAAACAAATAAAGAGAATTACTTCAGTTTTGCAATTTTTGAGCATGCTTAAAAAAGCCCAAAAACGTCAAGAAAAAGGCGGGAAGGCCAAGAACAGGGGTATTGTGACCTTCTCTTTCTAGCTTAGGGATTTTTATGCTAAAGAAGAACAATTTTGATTTTCATGGAAACGTATAGCAAATTCCTAAAAAATCATTACTTTTCATAAGAACAGTGTTCAACAAGTAGTTTGCCTAGTTAGAAAGACGAGAACATAAAACATATGTTTGTGTTTGTTTCGGTATTTTTTGTAACTTTCTGAGATTTTTGGTGAGCTTTTTTGAAATTACCAAAATTTGAGTGGTCTTCTTTTTGCATTTTTAACCCTGCGACTTGTGCTTGGTAGAACGAATTTAAGTTATATTTAGAAACTACACGATTTCTTTATATTAGGAAAAATTATCCCAGGCAAACTAGGCAGATAGCAGAAAGTTACGATTTTTTAGAGAACAATGCGAACGAACTTTTGAAATGGCCTAATTTCTATATCTGCGAAGCGTTATCCTGTAAGAAATTATTGGCTTTTTTTGTATTTTTATGAAAGAGTGTGGCCCAAAAGGAGAGTGACGATCTGCGGATTGAAACATAATTGGACAACGCTCGTAAACCTAAGATAATATCAGCTTAGACCTACAACGCTTATAAAGTGGTTTGCATGTTGCTGCATACTTTTATTTGGAAATCACTGTGATTTTACGACTCAAAGTGCACGCTGATTTGGCATAAGAAAAGTCCACAAGTTTTCTTCTCAGAAGAACGCTTCGAGGGTCTAGAAGGTATGTTATGTCTCACATCAGCGTTGGAAACTCTATCCATTGGTACACATCAGTTTCTGAATCATCACCACTTCGACCAAGCGAACTTCCCTTGTAAGAATTGGAGGTAACGCCAATGTGGTTATGAGCTGCACGTATCAGATTTGTTTGATCTTGAAATGAGTTAAGCACAATTTTCTGTACGGTTCATCAAAGAAAGAAAATTAAACATGTGTAGAGTGCAAAACGCATCACTGTTTATAGCGACTATGCGCATAATATCTACACCAATTTGAGTGGCTATTATTCTAACGAGACTGGTGCGAACAATAAACAATTCTTGTGCTCACATTCAAAACATTAGACGAACGATTATGCGAATAGGAGCGCTTGTATAAATCTGCGGAATCGCTGGAATTCAAGGAAAAACTGAACGGAGCAGGCTCCTTTAAATGTGAAAATAATGGTCCAATCCAAACATTTCTTGCGCTTTAAAAGGCGATTCGTGGGTGGACAGCAACGTTTAACAAGCACGATTATCTTTTCTTTGAAATGACTAACTGCACAAATAACGGCCCTATTTCGAGTGTCGCGACACGCAAATGATGATTTTTATCTTTTTTGGAAAAAGCGGTGATATCGTTCAGAATGCTCTAGAATATAAACGACTGAGCTACCAACTTGTAGGTGTGAGGCGAGGGTTTAGGAGTGAGGCTTCTGCCTGCTCTATCTCCTTATCTTGATCACCTTACAAGAAATTGCAGAGAAATGCAGTTTTTCCCCTTTCCCCTCCCCCCTTCATCCCTGACCCCGTGAAAGAATTCGCATTTGCAAACAGAATTCTACAAAAATGTTGCTAGTGGAGTGAAATATGTTGCTTTGCAATCGGTGATACTGATGCCAGCAGTCAGAATTTCATTAAAAAAACAGGAAATATGCGGGAAATCAAAAGGGTTTTCCATATGAAAATAGTATGAAGTTTGAGGATGCGGCTTCTCAGCTTTTTTGCAGGTCCAGCCATTACAAGACAGAACCTCTCCTCAGCTTTTCCACTTTTATTACTGGTGTGAAATACATCACCAGTGCTGAAACAATGTTGCAGTAGGCTTGTAGAGATCAAATGAACTAAGTAAATACAGAAACATCCAATTGTCGGAGGAGAAATCACTTTATGAGTTGGCAATAGCATTATTCACGGAAATTTTTACGAAAGACTGAAGCTGAAATTGGTTCTTCAGAACTGCTGCTTTTTTACTACGTTGAGAGAAGTACAGAAGACCAGGCATAGGTTTACGATTGTTTTCAATCATTGGATACATAAGAGAGAAGTTTTGAGGATGAAATCAAAGAGATCAAATGGAGACAAAGTTTTGTCTACATAGTCAAGAATCATTGAGCAATTTCATAAGATCCCATTTTTTATTCTAGTTTTTATGTGCAGCTTCCACAAAACTTCAGTTCAGCTTTTCGCGGATAATGTGGTGCGATGCACAACGATTTTTTTTTGAAAATTTCTTCAACCTATGGCACAAAATTGAGCGGAAAAACAAAGAATGCAGTTATTTTTTGAATATGTTTCGGCACAGCAGTTTGCGATTTCATAATGATACCTTGAGCAAAGCGAATTTGAGCAAAGATTTTTTGTCCTAAAAAAGGATTAGATAAAATTCCAGGACATCTATAATGTGGCAGTTTTCCATTCAAAAATAAGATGATATGACACTTGCACCCCTTTCCATCTTCACTCACGTGAGTATTACTGACCATCGTATATCATCATGCAGCGCTGTTCTGCTACGATAGTTTTTTTTTCAGTGGAAATAAAAGATTCGACTATCTATTAACTTTCCGGTTTCAAGAAAACTCAGAGAGCTTTAGTAGAGCAGCTTTTTAAGTATACATTGTTTCAAGGGAATGCTCCTATACTGGATGTCGCAGATTTTTTCTGCATTATCGTACTTTGCAGCGGATCGGGTCATAGCACATTTTGAATCAACTTGCCTTATATTGCTTCTAGCTCAAATGCCAATTTGATAAAAAATGAAAGTGGGCCGCATGGAATCCAACAATAAAGTACTGCAATTTTCTTATAATCAAATCTCCATATGTTGGACGAACATCCTTATAATTTGGGTTTTAACACATGCCTTTTATAGTCAAAAAATCTGTACATAAAATTTTGCGAGGGGTATGAGAAGGTGCTGTGAAAAATTGGTCTATGCTCAGCTTTTCTTGTGCGAGCAGTTTTCAGTGACACAGAAACAGTTTATTGAGATGAGAAGCAGCCAATCCCGGCACAAATGCAGTTTCCGCTATTTCAGCTAGCCAAGCCACGGCCAGAAGAGGATAGCCATAAATGACATGTATAGTAAAAATGCTCATTTCGTGACCATAGCCATTTTCGAGGCTTGCAAGACAGGTAGTTAAGCGCTGCCGAGGACATTGATTCGAGGATTCGAACCACAATTTTGCCCGCATGATCCCTCATCACTAAGATTTACACACTTTTAGGAAGCGTCGCCGCTGTCCATTGGGGACGTTTTTGACTTTTTATTGATGTGCGCGCAACCCAGCGGTCAAGACAACAGCATTTCAAATCCCATTAAACAAGAATAACGTGCAACTTATCTCTGAAGCGGTAACTCGTCAGTGTTACGACCTTTGCGCTGCTTAGATCAAACCCATTAGATTTGCGTTGTCCGTGTAAACAGGAGATCTGCGCTGAGTGAGCAGCGATTGTTTTCACTCGAAGTTGTTCGTATCGGTGCGCTTGTTTCAAGCGGATCGCTTACTCGAGCCAGTGAATTCGAACATATGGACCGTGCAAAGATAAAGTTTGCGCTGTCGTAAAGAAGCGCCTCTGTCGAGTGCTAATGCGGTAGATGTGTTTGATTGGAACAGCATTTCTCCTGCATGAACATTGAGAGAAGAAATGAAGAACAAAATTATGTACCCGTTATCGTCAGAAGAAATGTCGCCAAAAGTACATGCCAGAAGAAAACCCGACTTCAGCTAATGAGGCAGCGACAGATAAAAAGCTTTGTGAGAACTTACGATGAAACATCGTAAAGCGGTTTGACTCACCTCCATCCTCTCGTGCGCTCTTCCTCTCTGATCCATGTGGGTGTAAGCTGGGAGTCCGAATAAGTGGATGTATAGAGGGTGTACGAATAAGTTGCCCATACGCATGAAACGTAGCGGAAGCAGCTGTTGATCCCATACAAGATGATTAGCAGTTCTGTGAATCACGATAATATCACCAGTTGAAAAGCATATAAAATGAAAACAGCTTTCAGCTCGTTCGATTCGATCTACTCATTCGAGGAAAAAAATGAGATCAACTTTTTTCCACTCATCAAAAATGCTTGCTATCTACAATCAATACAGCTCAGAAATCGGATGATATTAAAAATTGCACAAAAAGCATCTGAATATATACCTGTGTATGTTATATCACAGCCGAATGAAGTGAAAATATATGAATAGTTACCGTAGTATATGGAGCAGTTGGTAGCTGTTCTAAATGGATTAACACAGCCACACACCCATGTTATTAGCTTAAGAATTGGTGGGCGTGTCGGTTGTGTGAGAAGGGGGAGAATGGTAGGCGAGAAAACGATGAGCCACTGAAACACACAACTATTTGCTCATTATTATGATATCTACTTTCGTGTATAGAACTGATGGACGATGTGGGAATATAATAGATGAATGTGAGATGATAGAGCAAATGTGAGACTTTTCGCGCAGACTGTTTTGGTACCTGCCCGATTATTTGGACTGACTGATTTAATCACCAGATGGCTTTTGATCACCAGATGGCTAACATGATTTATTTAGTTTAGTGACTTGAAAATGAGAGAATTAATTTTCGTGAAGCAGCGTAGCTCATGCCATAAAGTTGTTGCAGCTATCATCATGAAATAGTGCTTACCCTTTTTTTGGGGTAAATGTAGACAAATAGGGCGCTTTGTGATGATAAGGTATGAAAAATTCTCAAACGGGAACACATAACTGCGTAAAATTGTGTATAATTCTCTATAACCTGCGTTAAGCTCATCTCCAAGAATTCATTAGCAATCTTTGGACGATTTTCAGCTGTACGCTGCCTTAGTTTATAGTTGCGCTACTCGAATATTCTCAGCAGTGATGTGCGTATAGAAGAGAAATTTTCAAAACATGTTTGCAGAGAGCATTTTGACGATTGGATAATTGCATGGAGTAAGCGACAAAATAACCGACTCATGTGACAGGTTATGGTTCTTCTAATTACGTGCTCATTCGTCCGACAGAAAGTGAACACTCTCATAAAAAATGATTTCCTTTGCCGCAAGCGCACCTGATCGTCACTTTTTAAGGAAGTAGCTGTAATGGAGCGATGAGAAATCCTGATGCGAGTTCAAGTGGGGTCAACAAGCTGGTCAATTAGAAGGCAGCAGGACACAAAGGACGCGACGAGACATTGATTTCCATGCGACGATGCTCTAATGCCGACAATTAGATGAACAGCCCACTCGGAATTCCGCCAACGATTCTTAATGAAACGCCACTCCTTACATATGGTATCAATATGCAGCCGACGGCTCTCTCAAGGTGGATGCTGACACCTAGCTGGGAATGGAAAAACCGAACTCGCTTACTCGCTTCCGCAGTTGCATCCTTCTGTCAGTGAATATTATACAGGAAACCGTTGTCGTACTACAGTCGAGCGTCTATTCGAGAAAACTTCTCTCATTAGCTACAATTTAGGAGCTGCACACTCACAAATGAAGAAGTTAGAAGCTAGTGAGAAAGGGCGAAGATTATCAGCTGTGAAAAGTCACACCTACATCTAACTGACATGACAGTGAGAATCCAACAAAAGAAAGCGCTCTCAGGCAAAGACTGCAAAAAAAAAACTGTTGTCATAGCAAACTTTCGAAATCTGAAAGATTCTGCAATTTCTAGTGATTTACTTGAAATCCTTCTTGTAGCAAATTGAGATTTTCCAAAGTCCTCGCATGAAGGAAACACATGTGTGATTGCTACGAAAATGTGCTTCATTGAGAAATCCAAAAAAAACAAGAAATCATCCGTGCATTTTTCTTCGAAGCTTTTTCGTGTTAATTGCAGGAAAAAATTGGCATGTATCATTACGACATCACGTTAACGTCTGCTTTCGTCAAAGAAAGTGAAATACGTCTGAAGCTTGTGAAGGGCTGCAGAGGAAATTTGTTGCCAGAAATACAAGAGAATGCGGTCTTTTCCTCAGCTGCGACACGACATTAACACTGTTGTTTGAGACGGAAAAAAATCGAGCGGAGGGGGGTGGGAGGGAGAGCAGAGAACTAGGCGTGCATGTAACTTTCCGACAGAATCATGAAAAGCCATGAAATGGCAAAAAAGAAAATTGCGACAGTGGATAGGAGACGGATGGGAACATGACATGCTGAAGATATGCACGTGTTGACAATAACTGAGTAGCAGGGATAAGCCTCCAAAAAGTAGGTTTTTTTTTAAATTTTGGTCCCCTCTAATAGATCCTACCTTGAGAATAACTCATCACGTTGATTACTTTCATAGAAAATCTGCCTCCTTAATGTTGGTCTCATAGATTTTACTAAATGCAACCGACCGTTATCAAGTACTACTCAGGAAGGATAAAAATTCCCTTGAAGGGAGCGCGAAAAACTGATTGAGTGATCTCTTCTGCGTAATCAAACTTTCTTAATTCTCAAAAAGTGAGCGTATTCTACGGAACATTTTTTCTACTCAAACCATTTCAGTAGAGGCAGTTATTAACAAAGCCTGGTTGACCAACTTTGCGTCAGGCGGACGAATTTGTCAGGGTGAAGAGCAGGAGTGAAGAATGCGTTCTCTCCACGTTCGTATCTCTCAAACGGCTATTTCCTGCAACGGAATCAGCCTGTTTACGAGAGTAAGAAGCGGAAATGTGTCATAGAGAAGTGTACAAAAAATCGAAAATTGTTATTCGTAGTTGAGTAGAAGTATGTGAGTCTTAGAAGCAATCTAGGAGTTTTGAAAAAAATGAGGGTGTGCGCAGTAATAAGCGCCTGAATTTCTCACTCAAAGAGATTGCTTTAACTGATTAAAAATTTGAACTTACTGGTTTGCTCGTAAATTATAAAAACGTGCAGATGAAGACGACATGCGGAACGAGCGAGCAAGTAGGATTGACGTCAACTCTACAAAGTGCTCGGTGACCAAGAAAGTAATGCGGTGAAATATTACTTGATGAGAGAAACTTATTGGTATGCAAGATGCGCTATTGAAACCTCTCTTTTTGTAGAATTTGTAATTCAAGTACTTGTAAACGCTTCATGGTAGAAATTCCAGTCATGCCACATCTTGATATGAACTATTACAAGCTTTTGTAAGCAATGTGAAACAAATTGAGAGAAAAGCGCTTCTGATGCATGAAGGCCAAGTTTGTCTCCGCATCTGTTCGCGACGTCTTCTCTGCATTGAACTAGTCTTTTGAGCAGTAGTCATCTACATCCGGAGCTTTTGTTTGACCAAAACAAAGCACTCGAAATCTCAGATGCTGATGCTCTCAGCTAACACGATCATCCGAGGGTGTTTCATAGCTCGAATGGGGAAAAAATGGTAACGTGAACCATTCCAAGTCATGCGTGCAGTAAAAGTGCAAACGAGGTTCGCGATGCGAATCGTAGTTAGTATATCGCCAAGTAGTTTTGAAAGCGATGATGGTTTTCAGATGCTCTTCAACGACGATAGGCCCTCCCCCACTCTCCCCTCCCCTTAGTTGTGCAAAGCTACCTCAAGCGTTTCAATGTAATCAATAATAAGTTTTATCCCGCGTCGAGGGAGGACGTGCGACAGCCATAAATCTCCTCTGCTCATACTCTGATAGCCACACATATTCACAACTGTCCTTTTTGTCATTCTGGAGGGAAATGCGGAACAGCATTCGTGACTGTTATCTCGAATGCAGAGCAATTGGCTCGCTGCTCCAGCACGAAGGAGACACTGGCCTGGGCCTACGACATAATGCAACACAATTAGGTCTGCTGAATCCAGCCTATCATAAACCCGAGCATCGCCATCATTATTTTGCAAACGTTGGAGTTCGTTGAAGTGCCTCATTCAAGGGCGGTGGATTTGATGAAAATCTGGCTTTGCTGCACATTAACACGAGCGCAGACGAATGAACCGCCCAAAAAAAATTTTGATGACGAAAAAGTCGTAGATACTTGTGAATACCAGGCTTTGTCAAATATAATTATGCCATTCCTTCGTTGCTTTCTTGCTATTTTTCATTACCATACGGCGCCTGCATTCTAAGTCCGATCACAAATTTTAGAACATTCTCTTCTCTGGGTTTGGATCTAGTAGTTGAACTAGTTCTCACTTTGTCGTGTCGTTCAATAACAAACGGCGGGCGAGCCATCGACTCTAGTTAAAAAACTTTCAAAACTTAGCCCGAGTTTGGAGAATCATCCACTGCAAACAGGGCTCAGCAGAGGTGGCGCTTTCACACGCTGGATATCGTTTTCAAGGGGGAAGCAAAGAGGAACCCTAAAGTTTCCACTCGATGACGATATATCAGAAAACATCACCCTAACATAACTCTTAGCAAGCTCGACTTCAAAGTTTTAGCATAAACTAATTACAGGTTAATTGACGCGTTACAAAACGGGAGACGGTCAAGAGGCGCGATTTCTCTGGCTGCCACCAACTTAAACGTCCATTTCTGCAGCACACAAATTTTCAAAAAATTCCAGAGAAAGTCGTTCAGCTTACTAGCTGTTCGAAGTTGCCATTTGCTGAGTTTCACGGCTTTTGCTGCAAAATTGAGCGAAATATTCACGAAATTGCCATTATTTGCATTTTCAGGGTTTTTGACCTCCAATGTTTCTGTTCTGGATTGTTTTCAAGATGATAAGATCAGACAGCTTATGCAACGATCCTCCCTAACTTCTCAAAAATGTGAAAGGCCCTAGAGCATTGTCAAACATTTAAAATGTGCAATTTGATGTCCAGCTGGCAATAAAAATCGCGCCTCTTGCCATACACCCTTACAAAACGACAGTTCATAAACCTATGTGCACTCGATTCTAATGTGTCAAATACAATCTTTACTCAAGAAAATAGAAACAATCGGTTTGTTCACAACGAGGAGCAATGATGAGCTAGGAAATTGGTGTGTGTATCCGCGACGATGGTCAAAAGGAAAAATATGAAAAATTATGAAAAAATTATGTGAACGAGACGAGTTGTAAGCGTTTTTCGATTTCAATTTTTTCTAGAAACACCCTGAGGTTACGCGGGACCAGCCAAAATCATGAATGATCATAATTTTCCCCATACTCATATAAATTTCTAAATTTGTTTAATAAATATATTGCTTAGATCAAGCTTTGTCTATGAGATGAGTGCCCACCTTGACCCAAGTTTCGTCCCTATGTTTTGTTACGGTTCTTGATGATAAAAACAGCCGCTTTTCGCAATTCTCTTCTTAATCTTTGATTTACTCTTGTCTTTTCTTCACTTCACTCCATTTTTTTGTCACAGATTATTAAAAGAGATTCTACAAAACTACAAAAGGTATCCGTAATTTTCTGCAACGTCAAGGAGGACTTCATTTTTGAGCTTCTCACAGCTGGGCCCTG